AGAAACACACAGTAGAGAAGGAGTCAATAAATTAAGGGACAGAAGAAAAACTCTCAGACAACTGATATTACTCAAACTGGAACTGAAGAGAAGACCATGAGGCAAAAATGATTACAGAAGTGCTTTCTAAATGGTGAAGATATCATAACAAACTCACGGTGATGGAAGAGGGCTGGGTAGCTTCAGAAAATGTATACAACGAAACTAAGTGAAAGCACAACTTCCCCAAATTTAATAAACTGATTGTGTAAAATATCTTTTAGCAAAAGCCAGTGTAAAAGGTTACATCATTTAAAAAAATTCTTACTGAAAGTGAGAAAAAGATATTTCCTACAAATTCAGATTTACAATAAATTTGTGGTTGGCTGTAAAAGATATAAAAACATATTCTGGTTGTTGTTGTTATGTGTTGTTGAGCTGCCTCTGACTCATAGCAACCCTATGTACAACAGCCCTCAACTCTGCTCTATCCCTTGCCAATCTTATTGTCTATGACACACCTACCCATTACCCCAGTGACTGAATCAATCCGTCTCATCAAGGGTCTTCCTCTCCTGTGCTGTCCCTCCACACTCCCAACAATGACATCCTTTTCCAAGGACTGATCCAGCCTTGCAACATATCCAAAGTATGTCAGATAAAGCCTCAGAATCCTTGCCTCCAAGGAGTTCCTGTCAAACATTCTTCTAGGTGGTATAGCACTGGTCTGTGCGTTTCTGTACAGAGGTAACTCGTGGTTGCTGTGAGGCTGAAGCCTGTGACAGTGATGTGCCAATCGTGGTAATGGGCACCCATGGTGGACATTGTTGGCTGGAGCTTCCCGACTAAATCAAGCCTGGAAGCAGGAGTGGCACCCACTTCCAAAATGGCTTGCCTCTGGAAACTCTATGTATGAACAGTGCTCAGGCTGTTCGTTCATAGGGTCACTATGAGTCGTCTACGACTCGACGGCATTAAACAACAACAACAACAAGGACAAACCTGCTTGTTCTCCTAGCAGTCCATGGTGTATCCAATACTCTTCTCTAGTACCACAGTTCAAAGGCAGCAACTCTCCTTCTCTCATCGCTAGTCATTGTCCAGCTCTCTGATGAGTAGCAAGTAATTGCAAAGACCATGGCCTATATCAGGCACCCTTTGTCTCCAGACTGACATTGTTGCTCTTCAGTATTTTGGAGAGGTCTCTGACAGCAGACTTTCCCAATGTAATTCGTCTTTTAATTTCAGATTCATCTAACCATTGCTCAAAAGTAAGAACGAAAGTTTCTGTTCTGGTAAAAAATCTGTTAGAAAAGACTTCTGTAATGATTGGCCTGTTTGCTAACATTATCTTTGTTTTTGATGATTGCTTTTGAGTTGAGCGTGACTTATAATGACCCTAAGAACAAAAGGTCCGAAGCTTTTCTGTAATTATCGACATTCATCAAAGTTCATAGAGTTTCTGGAGGCATGCTGTTTAAGAAGTGGATGCCATTCCTGCTTCCATATTATCCTTAGCCAAAAGAAGGCACAAGAAGTCAATCCTGGAGCACAAGTTCAAAACACGTGATGTTAAGAGATACTGCCCACAGAGGAGGAAACTGGCAGCAGCTTGAGGCATTAGGAATCACAGAAACCCAGAAAGATTGACAGATAGGCCATCACATCAAGGACTGCATAAGAGGAGACTGATGTTGAATGGAGTAGGTGGGAGTAGAAGTGAATGCAGGTGGAACAGGGAAAGGGGTATCTCAAAACACACCTAGCAAGGGTGGGGACAACACGTTTTTTTCCTACTACTGGGAAATATATTTAATCTGTTCTCTGTAAAATGCTTGTCTGTCAGATAATGTTCTAAATCTGAGCAATCTAATTAAGACAGACTAGGAAGAAGGATTGGCCATTCACTTCTGAAATAGCAGACCTTTGAAAACTTATAAAAGGATATATTAAAGAAAAAATGGTGTTTTTAAACATTTTAAGGTTTTAGTTAAGACATATCACCTGCAAACAATTTAGCATACAGTAAGTCTATAATAACAATTTCTTCCCAAGCTAAGTGATACAGTGTCTATTGTGTGCCATTGAGTTGACTTCAACTCAAAGTAACCTTGCTGTTGCTATATGTCTTCAAGTCAGAACTGACTAATAGCTGACCCTCCAGTGGGTTTTCAAAAACTGTGAATCACACAGAAGGAGACTGGCCATCTTTCTACTATGGCGTAGTATATGGAATCAAACTGCCTGTGTTTTGTTGGCAAAGCAACTAACCCTACCAATCCTATATGACAGAGAGAACTACCCCAGAGGGTTCCTCCCACAAAGTCACAGCCACGTTTTTCAACTAGCATCCCAGTGCTTTAACAAATGTGTCACTAAGGCTCTTTATAGAATTTCTTTTGAGTCGTAAGTAAATGGCAGCATGTAGAGATAAACATTGATTTAAAACTGCATATATTTATTATACACCTAATTAAATAGATCTTTTATCAGGGTAATAATCACAGAATGAAGGGAAGAGGAGAAAACTCATAAATTCCATTTAGGAAAAATCATTACCTGAACAGTTTTGTTCATGGAATAACAAGTAAATACATCTGTGAACAGCACATGGAACAAGAAATACCACCTAAAAAATGTTTAAATACAATCTCAAAGAAGTTAAAAGCAATGGACTAAGAATAAGAAGAATATTGTCTACTGAATACAAAATAAGGGTATTTAGGATTAACTACAGGCAAATAGCGAGCTGTTACTGAGGGCAAGGTAAATCAGAGTAACTGTAGAGAATGAACATAAATATGAAAATTCTAAAAGGTTTGCCTGGGATCTCCCTAAATGAGCTCCAGTCTCAGACAATTTATGAGAAAATACTTATGCAAAGCAGTGGGTCAAGACTCACTCTGAAATTCCACACCATAATGAAGCATAATCACAGAATGAAAACATAACGTATATCTAGCAAATTACCACCTTCAACAGTAACATTAAAAAAATGATAGCATTTGTATGATATTTCATAGATAAATTTTGCACTTAGTTGCGATAAGTATCGATATTTAAAATGACTACATTTAATAAAAGGCAGAGCATGCAATGATGAAACTTTTGCTCTCCCCTTAAATCAAGATTATATGATGGATTAAGTGTTCACAAGCTCAGTCTTTTCATCAAATCATTTTCTAATAGTCAACCATCTACTAGATGGCCTGTTAGCAATTGCCTCACATTAGAGCCACGAGGTTTTAATACAGAGCTGTTTCATTAATGCTCCCTGAGTTTTAAATTAAGCTACTAATTCAATTGAAGGAACTTCTGACAATACATCTTTGGTGTTACACCTCCCCTGACCTAGACTAGTCATTTTATCATCTATTTTACCTTTTCAAATATTAAAATGGGTTCAACTCTTCTTATTTTCACATCCCTGGAAGAAATAACAGGAATTGCGGATGTGATATGACTCAGGATTGACTTTATATAAAGTAAATGCGTTTGGAGCTTTTGGGTTTTTTTTTTTAAGTGACTAAACCATTGACCAGTAAGAGATCTACATTTTAGTGCTCAGCTAAGGTTGAGCAAGGACTTATACTCCCAGATTATTCCATTATGAATGACTTTATATTAAAAAGGACCAAAATAAAAACTCAGTGCTCTAGTGTGGATTCTGACTCCCGGTGTTTCTATAGGTCAGAACAAAAATACCAAACAATGCTTCCAAGACTGCTTTACAGGAGCTGACTGTCCCATCTTTCTACAATGGAGAGGCTAGTGGATCTGAATGACTGATCTGGTTAGCAGCCAAGTAACTTCTTTGCCACCAGGACTTCTTAGCAACAACACCCCAACCAAACCAAATGCACAGAAATTGTTTAAATATTGACATATAGCAAGCCTCCATTAGGTCTCTTTGAACCTGTAAATCTTAACAGTGGTGACTGTCCATTATGCTTCTGCAAAGCCAAAGGTGGATTCAACCTCTCAGAGCAACGGTCTATGTATTATGCCCCTGGAGTTCCTAGTCTATATTATGAATAGTATTTGTATATATTATAAATATTATCGATAGTATTGTTGTCTGAACCAAGTCATTGCCGACCCTACAGTGGGTTTTCAGAAGGAATGAACTGCACAGGAAGAGACCGCCCATCTGTCTTCCAGAAGCTGCTGGATTTGAAACCACGTGCCTTTGGGTCTGCAGCACAGCTTCTTATCACTAGGCATAACAATTTCTATCGGCATTGAGGTAAGAATTTACATTCTGGATGAATATAATTGAGAATTTATATTCCTGTTAGCGCTCTGGTTGCAAAGTCTGTAGGGAACTGCAACTAACCCAAAGATGGTGATTCTCTGGAGGTTTGAAACCACCAGCCACTCTATGAGAGAAAGATTGGCAATTTTCTTCCAAACAATTTACAGCACATGAAAACCTGCAAGGATCTGCTACAAGTTGGTTCAAACCCAACAATGACTGACTTTTAAACCAATAGAAACAATAGAAAATATTGAAATTGAAAAGTAGTTTGATTAGACTCCTTAGGTATGTAATATCTGCTAAAAGGAAAGCATGAGTATGGGTTTTTTACTCCCAACAGAATTCTAAAGTTCCGTTTTGTTTGTTTGTAATATCTGTAAATACATATGCAAGCATGCACATATATACGCTTCCAGAATGAAAATGGATAGAAAGTTTATTGCAATCTTTATGGTGATAGTGAAATGTAGAAATTTGAGAAGTATGCCTCTATATCTAAGAAAGCAGACATCTACAAGGGAATACAGGAAAACTTATCAGGTCCAAGTTGAATGTCTTTGCTATGTTACTGGAAAAGAGGAAGATCTTCAATTTACTCCTCATGTTGAAGAAAATGCACACAATTTCAAAATTTTTACAAATACTAAATAACATTTGGAAAACCAAGAACAATTATGCAATCTGAAAAATAAAATTTTATCAGACTACTTGCTCCCTAAAATATATTAAAGTTAAAAAACAGGAATTTTAAAAAAAGGCTTACCTTCCATCCCGATCCCAGTCATAAACTTCTATTTTGATTGTTCTGTTCATGGGGAAAATCATACATATAAAGTCAAAAGAAAACAAAACAAAATTCAAAACTTTCTATTCAAACTCAAAAGAACTCTCCCAAAAGAGCAGAATTGCCCAAAAGGGTTTCTAAGGCTAGAAATCTTTATAGAAGCAAATTGTCACACTCTCTCCTGGCTACAGGATTTAAATTACTGACTTGTGATTTGATGTCAAGAGCTTTAAACATTGAAATTCAAGGACTCATAAAAAGTTGACTTTACTTTTCTCTCCTTGTGATTGAGTCAGAATGGACTCGCGGTTGACCCTCAAATGAGTTTTTGGCAGATTGTGAATCTCACAGGAGACTGACCATCTTTCTCTCACTGGATTTGAATCATCAAATCCATCAAATTTGCTACACAACACTCTACTGACTAGAGTTCCACAGAACTCTCTAAAAATTACTTAGTAACATCAAAATGATATATGAAGAACAAAGTAAAACTGTAAATTTTCCTAGACAGATATAATAAATAGTGATTAAGCTTTACAAAATTATTTAAGTTGATTCTGCTAATTTCATTAATCAGTTTACCTATTAAAATTGGCTTCTAAAATCTGTATTGATTTCTTTAAAAGGACTGAGGAAAGAACGGAGGGAGTTCTTGTACTCTGACAACATTTATTAATGGACCAATGATGGATCTTAGCTGAAAGCAGAGAATACCAGAAGAATGTCTATCTGTGTTTCATTGATTATGCAAAGGCATTTGACTGCATTGATCATAACAAACTGTGGCTGACTCTGAGAAGAATGGGAATCCCAGAACATTTAATTGTGCTAATGTGAAACCTATACTTGGACCAAGAGGCAGTTGTCAGAACAGAGCAGGGCAACACTGTATGGTTCAAAATTGGGAAGGGTGTACGCGAGGGATGTGTCCTCTCTCCATACCTTTTCAACCTGTATGCAGAGCAGATTATCTGAGAGGCAGGGCTCTATGAGGAGAAGCGTGGTGTTAGGATTGGTGGACAATCTATCATGCAGATGACACAACCCTGCTCGCTGAAACTGAGGAGGACCTCATGCACTTACTGCGGAGGGTTAAGGACTGCAGCCTTCAATATGGACTGAGGCTCATTGTCCAGAAGACAAATATTCTCACCACTGGACTAATCGGTAGCATCAGGATGGATGGTGAAGAGATTGAGATTGTTCACAGCTTCAGTTTGCTTGGCTCCACGGTCAACACTCTTGGCACCAGTAGCCAGGAAATCAAAAAACGTATTGCGATGGGAAAGTCTGCGGTTAGGGACCTCTCTAAAGTACTCAAGAGCAACGGTGTCTCTCTGGAGACTAAGGTGCGCCTGATACAGGCCATGGTTTTTGCAATCACTTGTTATGCATCAGAGAGTTGGACAATGACTAGGGAGGATAGAAGGAGAATTGACACCTTTGAGCTGTGGTGCTGGAGAAGAGTACTGAATGTACCATGGACTGCCAAGAAAACAAATAGATTCATCCTAGAGAGGGTTAAATCAGGCTGCTCCTTGGAGGCAAGGATTCTGGGGCTTCGCCTGACATACTTTGGACATGTTGTAAGGAGAGACAGGTCTTTGGAGAGGGACATCATGCTGGGCAGAGTGGAGGGACAGCGCAGGAGGGGAAGACCTTCTATGAGGTGGATTGATTTAGTGACTGGGGTAATCGGGATGGATGTGTCAGAGGCAGTGAGATTGGCACAGGATAGAGCAGGGTTTAGGGCTGTTGTACATAGGGTCGCTATGAATCGCAAATGACTCGACGGCACATAACAACAACAACAACAATAATACTCCAACTTTCTGCTCCAGGAAACCACTGTTCTCTCTTGAGTCACAATGACCAGTAGTATAACTTCATGCCAAGATTTCTGAGTAAGTAAGTCTGGTCTGAGTTTGAGGAATGTGAATTTCTACAAAGTACTAGGTGATAGTGATTCTGATAACTAGGAACCATAACATTAAGATTCCTTTTTAGGGACATAGAACAAGTCCATTTCAATGAAACTATGGTTTCTTATTAGATGGATAAAATTGTAATCAAATGGTTTGAAAGCAAATTTTTAAAGCACATGTGAAGACACTAGCAAAATTTCTTCTAATTACTCATCGACTAAACTTGTAACGACAGAACCTTCTTGGAATATCTGTGAGCCAGCACCAAATTATGCCAGAAAAGAAACTTCAAGAATATGTCTGAATTGATAACATATCCAGCCAGAATCTTATACCTCTTACACAAATATCTACCATGGAAACATAAGATACTATTTGAAAATCTTGAAGGAATGAAAATTCTAGATTGACTTTGAATATTAATGTATAAATTTAACATGTATTTATATATTTTAACCCTTTAAACATTTTAATTATTGAAAACTCAGTTTACGAAACTTTAATTAGCAAAATCTTCATTCTCCATAAATCAACATGGATTAGAAAATGATGATAGAATATATTTGAATAAATGAGTCAGTTTTATAACTCTATATAGATGAAGATGTCAGAGTCATTTAAAAAACTACCTAGATTACTGAGTAGAAGAATCTATGACAAATATTGAATAGCTTTAGAAAAGTTGGCATTTACCTGTCATAATCACCATTACACAGAGCTCTAACTGAGATCTTGAACGCCTGCCATACAGGATTCAGAGTGTTCTTAACAACTTCCGTTCTATGACAAATTGTAAAACTGTAAAAATAAAAAAATAAAAAAAAATTAAAAAAAAGGTTTTGGTGATTTTCTGATTCATTGATGGCATATTGTTTTAATATTCAGTCTACTTTTTTTTTGCTGAGTAAGTGTTGCTGGTTCTTGTGTTGTTTCTGTATCGTTTAACAGAAAGAGACAGATGCTTTTGAATTTTTAAGGATTATGAAGTAAAACAATGAATATTTAGAACAAGTTTATTTCTAAAAAGAAAAACTTCTCCACATTCAATAATTCTTAAAGCTGTCTCATAAATAAAAGGGAGAGAAAATAATGTTAAAGAAAACGTACATGTAAACATCCACAGGTCACTAAAAATATTGAGGTGATAGTCAACTGTGAGAAGACTGGCTTGGTTGGAATACTGAAGGGGGAACCCTGGCTGAGCTGGATTTTAGAACAGATGTGAAACTGAGAAAGCGTATGTGAACAGAATTTTAAAGTAGTTTATCTTTAAAGAGAAATAGAGAAATTAAGGAACAGGGTGGGTAATACTAGAGGAATGATTAGCAAAGCTAAGAATTTGATTGATAATTACTTTTATTATTGTAAAAAAAATAAAGGTTTTACATGGAAGGAAACACTTTTCAGAGATGAAACAATTTATGTTGTATAGAAGAAATGGAAAAGCTAGAGCAATATCCCTGACGGGATCCTGGGGATCAATAGAGAAGTTAGCCCATCTGCAGGCACCACTGGGAAGGCAGAGTACAAAGATAGTTGTAATGAGAATATAAGTAAATGCACCAAGCGGTTTTTTTTTTCTTCAGGAAACAAGAAACACGGTCATCAATAAAAAGGAGGAAAGACAAAAGAACCAAAGGTCCCCCCAAAATAGAAAATTGACGGATTAAGGAGGAGCTGTTGTTGTTGTTTGCTGTTGAATCAAGCACGACTCATAGTGACCCTATGAACAAAAGGTCTGAAGCCTCTCTAAAACCATAGTTATTTATCAAAGTTCATAGAGTTCCTAGAGTAGGACTGCTTACAAGTACACTTCAGATGAACATCATGAATATTCTGTGAGAATATTCTGTGAGATAAGCAAATGGCTTATCTAAACTATTCGTTGTAAAAATGTGAATTTCTAAAATGAACGAAGACAGTATTTCAAGACCCTATCATCAGGAATAGAATGTATGATGTATTAAACCTCCATTTCTGATTCCCATTCAATTGTTGCACCAAATTGTGCAACTTTCTAACATCTATCTTAGAAGTGTTCTTATCTAACGTGAATGTGGGGTATAAAGTGTCAGACTGCTAACTAAATGGCTGGCTGCACCTATCTACTCAGCATAACTCAGGAGAAAGATAGCCTACTTCAGAAAGATTTATAACCTTAGAAATCTTTGGTGGCTAAGAGTGAGACTCAACTTAATACCATTAGTTTTAATGTGAAAGTACATAGCAGTACATTAGCTAAAAACATTTTTCCCCTTATGTTGTAGTGTGTTGTTGAGTTGAAACCAGCTCACAGCTGACCCTGACTCAAGGGGTTTTCAGAGGCAGTTAATCACACAGGAGGATATGATGATCATCCTTCTACAGAACTGCTGGGGGATTCGAATTGCAGGCAGCACAGTACAACTATTCTTCTTGTTGTTATGTGCTGTCAGTCAACTATGACTCACAGCAACCCTATGATGAATAGCTCTGAACCTACTCTATCCTGTCTCACTGTCCCTGAGACACCTTCTCCCTTTATCATAGTCACTGCATCAATCCATCTCATCCAGTGTCTTCCTCTCTTGAGCTGACCCTCCACCCTTCCAATCATGATGTCCTTCTTCAAGGACTGGTCCCTCCTGGCAACATGCCCAAAATATGTCAGACAGAGTTACCAAATTCTTGCATTCAAGGAGCAACCTGGTTTCACTCTCTCCAGGACAGACCTGTTTGTTCTCTTGTCAGTCTGTGATATGTTCAATACTTTTTTCCAGCAACACAACTCAAAGGTATCGATTCTTCTGCATCCTTCGTCACTGTCGAGTCAGATTATTCATTGTTTATTCATTATTTCTTTTCCCTCGCTCTTTTGCATGTTAATTTTTGCTGTTATTGTCATTGTCTCATTGGTTTTCATCGTATCACTCATACATATTTTGGTTTGTAACACTAATTACAATCATACAAGACCATCATTTACATCTTATGAAATCCTTTGTCTGTACCCTCCCTTTTCCTTCTCTCTACCCACCTATGTACTAACTTCTGCTTCCAATCCTTTCCTCTTATCCCTGTCAATTTCACACAACTATTTCTGTGTGTAAATCTTTTTTTAACATCACCTCCCCATTCAGTCAGTTATGTATGTCCTATAAATTGCTAATTACAATGGGCACAATATTTTATTATCCACTCATTTTAGACTGAACCTCCCTTCACCTATTCTAATACAGTATTATCTATCCATTAATTTTCTGCTCTCCCTTCCACAACCATCCTATTTTTATAAAAGTGGTCTTATGTAGTATTTGTTCTTTTTCTTATTTGTTCTTTTTTTAACTGAGTAATTTATCATAACATCCTTTAAACTCATTCATGCTGTGTAGTTCTTAATTGCTTTCTAATATCATATAATACTCCATTTGGTCAATGTATCACAATTTCTCTATCAATTTGTTTGTTGATGGGCACTTGGACTGCTTCCATCTCTTTACGAATGTGGCTAATGCTGCACTAACCTTGCAATAAATGCATAGAAAAATATTAAAAAATTTAGAAGCTCTACTCTGTGCCCAGAAAAGCCTTTCAAACATACTAAAATCACACAACTAGGAGAGGATGGAATAGATGAATAAGACCAATCATTTAAAAAGAAAATAATTCTGTGCAGGGGAGAAAAAACCCCACAAACCTAAACCCCCAAAACACCCCACCCAAAAATCTCTAAAAGGGCTAAAATAAAAGTTCATAGACTGGGAAACATATTTGGAAATTATATATGATAAGGTACTCATATCTAAAATTTATAGAATATTCTGCACTTCAATAACATAAAAAAAAACTAAAATAAAACTACAAAATGAGCAGAAGACATAAAACAAAAAAAAAAACTAAAATAAAACTACAAAATGAGCAGAAGACATAAAACAAAACAAGACAATTGCTAAATGGGTGGAAGATAATATTCTTCACCAAAGAAAACTTTCAGATGGGCAATAATCACATAAAGAAATGTTAAATATAACTAGTCATTGTTGTTGTTAGGAGCCGTCAAGCTCCTTATGATTCACAGTAACTCTATGAGCTACCGATCTGAACCTTGACCTATCCTATGCCTTCCTCACCAGCTCTGTTAGATTTGAGACCTAAGTTATTCATTGTGTCAATGCATTTCCCTGAAGGTCTTCTTGCTTTTGCTGACTCTCCTCTACATCTCCAAATGTGATGTCCTTTTTCAAGAACTAGCCTGTACTAATAACATGTCCAAAGCATGTGAGATGGACCATTACCATCCTTACGTCCAAGGAGCACCCTGGTTGCATTTTCTTCAAGACATCTATGTTTGTTCTCTTGGCAGTCCATGGGATATTCAGTACTTTTCTTCACCACCAACTCAACTGCATCAATTCTTATTCAAGGTCAAACTTTCAGATGCATTTTAGTCTTTAAACTAACATCACTGCACCTTAGAACTTTGGAGAAAGTCCTGAAAGCAGACTTTCTCAAAGCAATATATCCTCTGGTCTCTTGCCTTGTGGCATAAAATGTGTTGAATGGGATTCAATCAAGATGAAATCATTGACAACATCAATCTTCATCTATCATGATGTTTTCTATTGGTCCAGTGGTTAGGGTTTTTCTTTTCTTGAGGGTGAGATGTAATCCATACTGAAGACTGTGATTTTTGATCTTCTGCAGCAAGCCCTTCAAGACCTTCTTGCTTTCAACAAACAAGGTTGTGTCACCTGCATAATGCAGGTCGTTGATGAGTGGTCCTCTGATTCTTACACCACATTATTCTTCATAAAATCCACCTTCTCAAATGATTTATTCAGCATATAGATGGAATGAGTATGAAGAAAGGATATAGCCTTGATGTACACCTTTCTTGATTTTAAACCATGTTGTTCTGTTTGGACAACAGCTTCTGGGTCTATGTATAGGTTTTGTTGTAGCTGTTGTTGAGTTGCCTGTGACTCATAGTTTGTTGAGTTTTGTTGTAGTGTCTTTGAGTCGCCTGTGACTCATAGTGACCCTATGCACAATAGCTCTGAACTCTGTCCTATCCTAAGCTTATCTCAGTCTCTGACACATCTTACCCTATTATCCCTGTTACTGTGTCAATCTATCTCATCCAAGTTCTTCCACCCTTCCAAGTATGATGTCATTTTCCAAGGACTAGTCCCTCCTGGCAAAATGCCCAAAGTATGTGTGAGAGTTTCAAAATCATTTCCTCCAGATGACAAGTTGCTTTCACCTTCTCCAGAACAAATCTGTTTGTTCTCTTGGCAGTCCATGATATGTTTTATACTCTTCTCTAGTAGCACAATACAAAGGCATCAGTTCTTCTGTCATCCTAAGTTACTGTATAGCTCTTAGATGCTTAGCAAATAATTGTGAAGACCATGGCCCAAAACAGGCACCCCTTAGTTTCTAGACTAATATCTTTGAACTTCAGTACTCTGGAGAGGTACCTGACAGTGGACTTTCCTAATTCAATTTGTCTTTTTTTTTTCCTGGCTGCTGGTTTCAAGAGTTGATTGTGGACCCAAAGTTTTACATGAGCACAATTAAACATTCCTGGATTCCCATTCTTATCAATGCTAGCCATAATTTGCTATGATGCATCCAGTCAAATGCCTCTGCATAGTCAATAAAACACAGAGAGATTCCACTGGTATTCTCTGCTATTACACCAAGATCCACCAGACATCAATAATGATATATATTGGACTACAATCGCTTCTAAATTCTGCCTGAACTTCTGGAAGTTCTCTGTCAATGCACTGCTCTAGCCAATACTTTTCAACAGTATTCAGCAAGATTTTACTTGCATGTATTATTATTATTATTGATATTAAGTTATAATGTCTAAATTCTTTTGGATCACGTTTCTTGGGAATAGGGATAATATTCTTGGAAATGGCTCTTCCAGGACTGGCCTGACTAGCCAGGTAACTGTCTTTCATATTTCCTAGCACAGAACCACAAGGACATCAAAGAATGCATCTATTTGTTAAAAGATAATAGTTGGTATCCTATGACTTCTGAGGGCATTATTTCTTGCTAATGGTATCATTGCAACTTTATTGTCTTCCTTCTTGGTCATATGCTACTTCATAAATGGTTCCATGCCAGCCAACACTTTTTGGTACAATTACTGTATGTATTCATTCCACTTTCTTTTGATGCTTCCTAGACAGTTCAAAATTCTGCCCACAGAATCAAAATTGCAACTCAAGGACAGATGCAAACAACAACAAAAAAACCCCCCAATAGTTATCACCTCACACCAGCATCAACAGCAATGTTCAACAAGACAGCAAACAACAAATGCTGAGAAGGATACGGAGTAACTGGAACTCCCATGCACTGCAAGTGAGAATGTAAAATGGTACAATTATGGAAAGCAGTCTGGCATTACTTCAAAAGTTGAAAATAGTAATATAATTTGATCTAGCCATTCCACCAGTGGGAATATATCTTAAACAAATGAGAGCTGTGATATGAACAGATAATACATACCATGTTTATAGCAGCATTATTCATAATAGCAAAGAGTAAACATTTAAACTAATATTAATAAGAAGACATTTAGTAATAACTAAAAATGCCACCAGTCCTTACAAAGAACTCAGTCACGTTACAAATACAGGAGCTTCTCAAAAACACCATAAAAATATTAAATAAGTATCATAGTGTCCATAATATATCCAGCTAACTTCCATGTTTGTCTCACTCTGAAAAGCCTGCAAGCCCATCTTCTTCATCTCAGGGAAGAAAGGTTTATTTCTATTAAGAGATCAAAAAAAAATGTGCTACCAAAAAAAGAAAAGAAAAAAAAAGAAGAAGAAATAGGCTATAAAGTGATCCGAGTAATTAAAAACTTAAAGCATTAATATCTCCTTTCCTTCACTATTGTAACACACCCATAGAAGTACATATCATTAAATGGACAGTGCTCAGGAGAATTTCTACTCTATTTAAGTCGTCAAAGTTCTCAAGCTGAACCACCCAAACCAACGAAGGAACCACTGGAAACAAAAGGTATTCCAAAGGAAAGTAAAGAGTTGACAGAGGACTATGAGAAGGGCAATCAAGATAAACAAAGAAGCTGGAATAAAAGCAATGGAGATACAGAAGAAGCAGATAGAGGCTGGAGGACCACAAAGGGAAAAAAGTGAGGAATGTCAATATCATAGAATAAACAAAAATCAATAGAGATCTGGTGATGAGAAGTCACAGCATGTGGGATGATTTGTTACAGAAACAGATACCTGTCTTAGCTTATACTTAGTTGGCACATCGTTAAGACCAACAGATGTGAATTTATCTTTTATATCACAGTCTGTTGGGATCTCTGATTGGGCAGCTAACCAAAATGGATGGTTCGAATGACCCACCTGATATTCTATGAGAGAAGATTACATAGTCTCTTCCTGTAAAGATATACATTCTCAGAAACCTGATAGAAGCTCCCTATGAATCAAAAGCAAACTAAAAAATAGTGAGTTTTCATTGGTTTGTATGACATAGTCTAGTAAGTAGGAATTTTATGGTATAAAGATAGGTAGATAAGTAAAAAAGAAAGAGGGAGAGAAGCTGTTTTGTTGAATAATCTTTAAACTAATGCACTCAGTAGTTTAGAGACTATTAGTCTCTATATTTTATCATTATTTATGTATCATTGAGTCAGAACAGACCCTCCGGAGGGTTTTCGGAGGCAATTAATTGTGTGGGAAAAGTATAAGCAGTCAGGAGATAAAAAGACATATTGCTCTGAGCAAGCCGATTGTAAGGGACCTCTTCAAAATCCTAAAAAGAGAATTGGTGTCATTTTGAAGACTAAGGTACATTTGATTAAGATCTTTTCAATTACTTGCTATGCATGTAAAAGTTGGATACTAAATAAGGATTACAGAAGAATTACTGATGTCTTTGTGTTTTGGTCTTACAGAAGAGTATTGAATATACTATTGACTGACAAAAGAACAAACAAGTATATCTTGGAAAAAGTACAGCCAGAGTGCTCCTTAAAGGCAAGGAGGGCAAAGCTTTGTCTCTCATACTTGGGACATGTTGCTAAGAGAGGCTATTCCTTGGAATAAGTCACCATGTTTGGAATGACAGAGGGTCAGTGAAAGAGAGGAAGACCTCCTTCATGATGGATCGACACACTGATAGATGCAATGGGCGCATGTGTATCAGAGATAGTGAGAATAACACAGGATAGGGCAGGATTCAGGTCTGTTGTTCATAAGGTTGCTAGGAGTCATACTAGATGGCACCTAGAAACAACAACAGATCACCCATATTTCTCACATAAATGTTTTCATCAGTTTCTTGCTATAGTCCTAGCTTCACCAGCTATAGTAATAAAATAGTTTGACACTTGACACACTTCTTTTCCTCTTAAGAAAGTTTCTCATCTTCCTAATAATATATTTATAAATCAAGTGGTCATTTTTCTCCTATTAATTGTTCTTATTATTATACATTAGATGTGACATAAACAGCACAATGTCACTCACCAAAATTTTTCTAGAAATGAGATCTAGCTTTTTCACCTTCATATTCAAAGAAAAATATAAATTTATGTATATTACAAGTATTTAAGTGGAATATATCATATATTCTAAAGACACTCTGCTTTCAGAAAATGTAAACAGCCATTTACCAAAATTAGCTATTCCAAAAGAAAAATCATCTTATTCACTCATGAATAACAAGAAAATAAATAACCTGGAAACCAAGGAAGTCATTCATAATGATATTTTGAAGATGTTTCTAACAGAAATGAGGTTTTTACTCCAGCATTTATATGAGTCTCTAATATGCTTCACAGCAGGTAATTTTTCAAATGTTAAAGTTCAGAAAACTGTAGAGGGTCTATCTTGGCAGTTAAAAAAAAAAATCTACAGATAAAACATGAGACAGCAAAATCTTTTTTTTACTCATTAAAAACTCATTAAAACAAAACAATGTATCGGAATGCTAGGATTTACTAAATTTTAGCTACTGTTGTCTTGAAATTATTTTAAATTTATGTGTAAGGTGTAAGTTTTCTTATACGTTACTTCATAAATTAGTATCATCTTTCCAATGCTTCATTTCCTGTGTCAATATTTTCCTTAGAAAAATAATGTTGATAGAAGTTAAATAAATTATCCACGAGAAAAGACAATGATTTAAATCCACATAGCAGAACTTTAGATCAAATTTTAACAACTAATTGTTCCCATAAATAGTAAATATCTCTGTCTCATTGTCGTGGAATTGCAGCTACCTCATAGGTCATCCTTCAGCAGGTTTTCAGAGGGGTATGTCAAATGGGAGAAGAATGCCCAACCTTCTACTATAGAGCCACCTGTGGATCTGAACGCTTCAGAGAGAGGCTGTCTTTGGCTTAGAATGCAACAATCTATGGACTGTTTCATCAAAACCCCCTTTATATTTAAAATTAAACTCAAATATTATTAGGACAAATATATAGCATTAACACACACACACACACACACACACACACACACACACATCATGATGTTATTTCTTTGAAGCTATAGACCCTATAGACAAAGCAGAGCTATTCCATAAGTTTTTAAGACTGTAAAGCAGACTAGCACATTTTTCCCTTGTTACTGGGTTAAAACTTCTATGGAAATTTAAAATGCACAATCTGAAATATTTTGTTAAGAAATTAAACTCTTTGACCATTTACTGACAGAAGAGACTCTTATAGACTCTAGAGATGTAGTAGGTTAAGTGCTTAGCTGCTAATCATAAAACTATATTATTATAGCAATACTTTAGAAAACACATATCAGAAATTTTCCATGACCTGAAATCCATTCATTTTCAGTACCAAGCAAAAGATCTAAATTGCTTTGAAAAATTATTCACTGATATTGCAAGGCAAAAAATTATCAGTGTTTAGAAAATACCAAAATTTTACATTTTGCTCCATTTATCAATTTAATGTGCTTCTCTGAGAAAAATAATTCAAATATCATTCTTACCATAGATTTAAAATACACAAACGATAAATCTACCTGCCATCTTCATTACTTCGATAAAATACAAGAAAAGGGTCTGATTTTCCAAAGAAGTCCTTCTTGTCCAATTTGTTTGCACAAAATTGCATCAAAACAGCATCCTAAGACGAAAATGAATAAACTAGTTAAAACATCTGGACTATAAACCATAACTTCAGATCACAAACAAGATTTGACAACTCAGGAACTTTTAAACACAAATGATTTAATAATTGATAAAGCACTGTGAGACATTGCAAAATTGACTCCACAGGTGTTCATTCTAGTGACAATTTATGATTTTATCAAAGTCCTTTAACAATCTACCCTAAATAATATCATTTTTTAGGCTATATAATACTCATCATCATCATCTAGTTACCATTAAGTTGAGTCTGACTCACGTATGTCATATTAAGTGGTGTTCCACAGAGTTTTCAATGGCTAATTTTTCAGAATTAGACTGCCAGGTATTTTCTTCTGTGGTTTCTATGCATAGACTTGATTTTTTAGCTTTTCTTTAGAATAAAATGAATTATCAAAACGACACTAAGTATCTAATATTATAACACTATTGTTGTCATATTCTGTTGAGTCAAATACAACCCCATGAAAAATACCTCTAAACCTTGCCCTAGCATGAGCCAATTTCACTGTCACTGACACATCTGTCACCAATGCCAGTCACTGTGTCAGTCCATTTCACCTAGGGTCCCTCTCCTGTGCTCATCCTCCACCTTTCCAACATGATGCCCTTTCCTAAGGAGTTGTCCCTCCTGGCAACATGCCCAAAATATGTGACATAGAGTTTTAAAATCCTTGCTTCCAAGAAGCAGTCTGATTTCACCTCCTCTAGACCTGTTTGTTCTCTTGACTGTATATGGTATGTTTAATATTTTCTCCAGCACAACTAAAAGGCACTGATTCTTCTTCTACCATCCTAGAGTCAGCTCTAAGATGCATTGCAAATAAATGAGAAGACCACAGCCTAGATCAGGGGCACCTTAGTCTCCAGAATGACTCATTGCTCTTTAGCAGTTTGGAGAGTGCCCAGGGGCAGACTTTCTAAAGCAACTCCTCTTTAATTTCCTGACTGCTTGTGCCAAGAGTGTTGATTCAAGTAAGATGAACTGCTAATAACCTCAATCTTTTCTCCATCTGTCATGATGCTGCAGTTGGATCAGAGGCAAGAATTTTGTTTTCTTGATGTTGAGATGCAATCCATACTGAAGGCTTCAATTCAAAGCAAATTCAAGGCAAACACTTCAGGTCCTGCTCGGTTTTGGTGAGCAATGATAACAAAGGATCTTCATTAATTTTTTTCATAATTCAAACATATACAGGTGGTTTATTAAGCATCTACTATGTATCTGATGTTGAGCATGCAGTGTGGAATGGAAAAGCATGTAACAACTCTGACCACATAATTGATAAACTGTTAACAGTTACTTTTTATCTCACATGTATATTCATGTCCTAACAACTATATTAAAAGTGATATCTCAGAAACTTAAACACAAATTATAAGGGCCTCAAATTTATAATTAATATTTTATATCTGTAAATTATTATGCCAAGGGAATAATTTTTATCAAGGTATTTATACTAAAAGGAGGTCTTTATAAAACATAATGTATATGAATGAAACATACTGTAAAGGTATGTTATAGTTGTTGACTGCCTTTGAGTCGAGCAAGACTTATACCAACCCTATGAACAAAAGGCATGAAGTCTTTCTATAACTACTGACATTTATCAAAGTTCATAGAGTTTCTAGAGGTACGTTGTTTAGGGAGTGGATGCCACTCTTGCTTCCAAACCTGTCTTAAACTGGGAGCTCCACCAAACACTTAACCACCATGGGTAATAGTTATGGCATTTGACACCCCAACGGCACAAGATTCAGCATCATAGCAACTCCAAGCTACCTCAGTACAGCATACTGGCAGAAGAGTGCTGTACCACTAAGAAAAAATTTTCCTCCAAAATATAACAACCAAATTTAAATACAAAGGCCCTCCTCGAAGTCTTGTTGACTTTAAACAAGAGGTTTAAATTTCAAAAACAACCAGTATAGTATGTTACTGTTGTTATGTTACCATTGAGTAGCCTGTGATAGACAGCAGCCCTATGTAGAGCAGCTCTGGACCTTTCCTGTCCTTAGCCAGTCTCACTAATTTGGACACTCCAGCTCCCATTGCTCCAGATACTGTATCAATAAATCTTATCCAGGGTCTTCCTCTCTAGTACTTTATGTCCTCCGTTCTGAGCATGATGACTTTCTCCAAGAACTGGTCTCTCCTGGCCACATGCCCAAAGTATGTGAAGTGGAGCTTCAAAATCCTAGCATCCAAGGAGAGACCTGTTTCCACCCTCTCCTATTTGTTTTCTTGGCAGTCCATGGTATGTTCAAGACTCTTCTCCAGCACCACAACTCAAAGGCATCTATTCTTCTGTCATCCTTAGTCATTGCCCAACTCTCTGAAGCATAGTAATTGAGAAGACCATGGCCTGGATTAGGTGCAACTTTGTACCCAGACTGATATCGTTGTTCCTCAGCACTTGAGAGAGGTCCAGGACAGCAGATTTTCCCAGTGCAATTTCGTCTTTTGATTTCCTGACTGCTGGTATGAATGAAGAGTGTTGACTGTGGATCCAAGCAAGCTAAAAACCTCAATCTCTTCTCCATCTATCATGGTGCTGCCAGTTGGCCCAATGGTGAGAATCTTTGTATTCTTGATGTTGAGCTTCAATACATATTGAAGACTATCATCCTTGACCTTGTGCAGCAAGTGTTTCAGGTCTTCTTCAGTTTCAGCAAGCAAGGTTGTGTCATCTGCGTATTATAGGCTGTTAATGAGTCTTCCTCTAATCCTGATGCCACACTCCTCCTCATAAAGCACTGCCTCCTGAATGATCTATTCTGCAAACAGACTGAGGAAGTAAGAGGACAGTATGCATACCTAATGCACTCCTTTCCTGATTCTGAACCGTGCAGTGCTTCTTTGCTCTGTTTTGAGGATTGCTTCTTGATCCATGTATTGGTTTCGTATAAGCATGATCAAGTGTTCTGGGATTCCTATTTTCCTCAAGGTTAGCCACAATTTGTAAAGGTATAACTATATGAAAATAAATTAGTGTTGGTTTTTTTTTTTAAAAAAAAAGAGAGGTCTGGAGACTTAGTGGTAAGGGGTTGTGATGCCAACTCAGATACCAAGTTTGAAACCACTAGTTGTTCTGGAAGAGATAATTGGGCAAATAACTTTAGTGAGATTTAAAGTCTCTGAAAAGGTTCAGCTATCAGTTGGTTCCGACTTGATGGTACATAGTAACAATATATTTACTTAAGAGGTTCAGCTATCAGTTGGTTCCGACTTGATGGTACATAGTAACAATATATTTACTTAAGCTCTCGAAATCTACATGATTGATTTTAATTTCTCCAGATTGAGCATTTCTGGCTGTATTTGGCAGCCTCTTTATACCATAGAATAGGCCATCTAAGCTTGATCCCAGTTTGTCTCTGATGAACTTCATGGTTTTGGGCTTTACTGCCAGGTCTCTGATCCACCTTGAGTTGATTTTTGTGTATGGTGTGAGATATGGATCCTGGTTCAGCTATCTGCATGTAGCAGTCCAGTTTTGCCAGCACCATTTGTTGAAGAGGTTGCCATTTCCCAAATTGATAGGTTTTATTTCCTTTTCATGTATCAGTTGACCATAGATATCCAAGTCCATTTCTGGGTTCTCAATTCTTTTCCAGTGGTCTATGCTCTTTTGGTTACTACTACCGTGTATAAGATTTTGAGGTCAGGGTATGCTATGACTTCCAACTCATTTTTGTTTTTCAGAAGTGCTTTGCTTATTCGGGGTCTCTTTCCTCTCCAAATAAACTTGACCATTTCCCTTTTGATCTCCTTGTAAAATGAATTTGGTTATCTGGATTTGATTGCATTGAACATGTGGAGTGTTTTTGGTAGGATTGTCTTATCCATAAACAGGGCACATTTTCCCATTTAGTTAGGTCTTTTATTGTGTCTCGCAGAAATGTTCTGTAGTTTTCTTTGAACAGGTCTTTTATGTCTCTAGCTAGGTTCATTCCCTTAGTTTGTGGTTAGCTACTGTAAATGGTATTGCTTTCTTGGTTTCCTTCTCTGTTGCTGCAGAGGGCTCCCACTGATATTGATATCTGGATATTGATATTACATCCTGCCACTCTACCAAATTGGTCTACTAGCGCCAACAGATTTTTGTTGAGTCCTCGGGGTTTTCTGTCTATAGTATCATATCATCTGTATATAGCAACAGTTTAATCATCTCTTTGCCAATCTGGATGCCTTTTATTTCCTTCTCTTGCTGTAGCACCCAAGCAAGCACTTCCATTATAATACTGAACAGAAGTGGTGACAGTAGGCCTCCTTCTCTGGTCTCTATTCACAAGGAAACTGCTCATAGTCTTCCTCCATTGAAAATGATATTAGCTCTTGGAATGGCATATACACTTTTCAATATGTTGAGGAAATTCTCCTCTATTTCAATTTTTCTGAGTGTTTTTATCAGGAAAGGGCATTGGATTTTGCCAAATGCCCTTTCTGCATCAATTGCTAAGATCATATGTTTCTTGTTATTTGCTTTGTTAATATAGTGAATTATGCTGACTGTTTTTATGTTGAACCATTCTTGCGTATTGATTATAAATCCCACTTGGTCTGGGAAAATAAACATTTGGCAATAGCATTTCAGACAACGGTCTCATATAAAAAAAATTACAGAATCCTACAGGATCACCACAAGAAAAAGACTGATAGGTAACATAGTTACAAAATGGGCAAAATACATGGAGAGACTTTTCACAAAGGAAAATATCTGAATGGCTAACAGACACATGAAGAAATGCTGAAAATCACTAGTTAGAGAGATGCAAATCAAAACCACAATGAGACACTATCTCACTCCAGTAGCAGTGGCAAAGTTTAACAGGACAGCAAGTAATAAATGTTGGCGAGGATGTGGTGGGACAGGAACTGTTATACACTGTTCATGGGATTGTAAATGGTAAGGCCACTCTGGAAGGCAGTTTGATGTTTCCTCAAAAGCTTGAACAAAAAAAATCCATATGGCC